GAACATGAAATATAAAAAACTTGAAAATGAACATGAAATATAAAAATTATTAGAAAATAATTGTCGTGCATCAAAGCAGTATAATACAAGAAGTGCTTGATATAAGTTTAATTCTCTGAAAGAAAACATCGAGTATAGAGCAGGAAACGAGAGAATGATACGAAAACCGACAAATATGAGAAAAGACAACTGCGGAAAGAATCCATGGGAAAAAGGAGGATTACGAAGTTGTATATTCGCGAAAAGTAGTCGAAAACTTCATCGTGGGTTGACTCCTAAAAGCCAGCTAGAGAAAGAAAAAGAGAGGAGGAAACTCGAGGACAAATCGAGAGATTCTCCGAGACATTGGAGAAAAATTTGTATCGTCGTATTTCCGTTTTCTTTTGTCTCCATCGAAACGATAGCGATAGGACGAGGGCCGGGTAATTGATCCGTGAAAATTGTTCGATTAACCCTTAACGGTCACGCTATATCGGAATTTAGAGAGGTAAAATTGTGGAACACCGTTCAGATTTAAGAGTTTGAGGGAGAAAATAGTAAAAATATTGGGGTTGGAAAGATTTCCTCAGATTTGGGGTATTTTTTCAAATTTTTTTTTTGAGATATAGGAGAAATATACGATAAATATATTCAAATTTGTAATTATCAGAATATTTCAATTTTCAAGTACTCAATATAGTATCACATTTTAAATATATTTTCATTCTAAATTCTCAAGTTTTTTTTTTCATTCTCAAGTTTTCAAGTTTTCATTTTTCCAAGTTTCCAGATTTTCAAGTTTTCAAGTTTTCAAATTTTCAAGTTTTCAAGTTTTCAAGTTTTCAAGTTTTCAAGTTTTCAAGTTTTTAGGTTGCCAAATTTTCAATTGATCAATTGTTCAAGTTTCTAAGTTTTCAAATTTGTAATTATCAGAATATTTCAATTTTCAAGTACACAACAGTATCATGTTCCAAATATATTTTCATTCTAAATTTACTTGTTTGTCTATCAAAGTGTAATCGCAATTGTACTTATAATTAAAGCAAGTGTCATTATGTATGATGCCTCACATATTTTATATATTATGTCAAACCACCTACCGCTACCAACCCACGAGTTGGCGCGCGAAGAGGCTGACGCGAAGAGCCACAGCTCCGATTGGTCAGAATAGAAAAATGGACGCCTCACGTATTTTCGGCGGAACAATTGGCTCTCGCGGTCACGCGCACCAATTAGGCGAAAAACAATGACAGTCGGCAAACGTCTCTCGAGTGAGCGAGATAGCGCGAATTGCGTTCAGCAGTTGTTATTGTCATTATTATTCTTATGCGCCTGTATGTAACGCTGGAAGTGTTCACGGTGGGGATAGAGCTTCTTTTACTTTGGGTCCTCACGCGCCAACTCGTGGGTTGACATCCGTACGTAAATTATTACGCCTGAATTGAAAATAACGCGTACCAAAAATACGAGAAAAATTGACAATATTTGAACTGCGAGTGTGTCACGAGTGCGTCATAGCTCACGCGTCAACTCGTGGGACATACGTACGTAAATTATTACGCCTGAATTGAAAATAACGCGTACCAAAAATACGAGAAAAATTGACAATATTTGAACTGCGAGTGCGTTACGAATGCGTCATAGCTCACGAACTCGTGAGATATATGTATCTGTACGTTCTTTATATCACGTGAATCTGTGAATATTTTTATTGCACATGTATATGTAAATGGAATTGCAAGTACGGTTAGTATTTGCTGGAAATACATGCTGCAGAACTGTTTTCCTGGTTTTTAATTTTTGTTCTGGTATATTTATACTGCGATAACAGTGTATATTCTGAAATAACGGTCTGTGTATTGTGTTAAGGTATCGTATCGAGCACGATGGGCTTTCTTGAGATAAATGGCGGCGCAGGGAAAGGAGTTATTTGCAAGCGTTTTCAGTTGAGAAATTCATAAATTTTGAAAAAAGTAGGATTTTTATGTTTGAATAACTCTGCATTGATTGATAAGAATTATTTATGTTTAATGTTACTGCGAACGAAGGGTACTATATTTTAAACACGTACACTTTGAATCACGATGATAAACTCGAATTCTGAAAACTTTTAACTTACCGACTTTCCAAATTTCTAAGTTTCTAAATTTCCTAATTTTTAAATTTTCAAATTTCCAAATTTCTAATTTCCAAATTCTTAATCTTCCAAATTCCTAAATTAATAAATTTTCAAATTTCCCAATATCCAAATTTCTAAACTACCGAATTTCTACCTTTCCGAATATCCAAACTTCAAAATTTCCAAATGTTTCCAAATTTCAAATCTACAAATCCTAAATTAGCAATCCTCATATGAGAATAGTACCATATGACATGTGTCTGACATTCATCCTTCCATTCATCTAAACAATAAGCAATCGTAGACCACACAAAAGCGTGGACCACAAAAGATCGAATCATCGTCGCGACTCAAAGTGTACTAAACTAACAATGACTTGATAACAAATGATTGACGAAAGTAATAATTGGTTAGGGCTGGTAAACGGCGGATCCCACGAGAAACGGCTGCTGAGCGACCTGCTGGATACGTACAACGTGCTGGAGCGTCCTGTTGGCAATGAGTCCGATCCCCTCGTCTTGAGCTTTGGCCTTACACTAATGCAAATTATCGACGTTGTAAGTTTTCATCAACAACTACAAATACTCACAAAAATGACCTTCTCTCTATAACGCGACACACAATCGCACACACTACAAAATGAAGTGCTAAACGTTTCTCTCAGTGCGAATCAAGTTGCAATAGACAGATCGTCCTTTTTGGGTTTTCATTTCTAGTATATTTCTAGTATAATGCATGACATTAGTTTTAAGTAATTATATTACATTGCATGAATTTGTACTATCAAACATTCGGAAATATTTTGACAGATTAAAAAGTTTAACTTTCTTTAAATTGTAACATGACTACGTTCATAAATCACGTGTATACAATTATAAAATTAGTTAAAAACTTCAAGCTATATTAAATCGAACTCTGCTTATATTTTGTTTTAGTGTAAACCTAAATATAAGGGTGGGTAGAATTTCAGAGAGACCTCGTAAAACATATAAAATATTTAACTGTTAATTGGAAATCCACTCTTGATTACACATTTAACAGCAAAAAATACAACAACAACTTGCAGTTATATTGTAAAGAACAACGTTTAAAGAACAGCGTTAAAAAAGCGCATTCAAATCGTGCTTATATAGTAAATGTTATGTGAACACAGTTTTTCTCTGTGTTTGTCTAAAAAAAAGCAATGGGGTTTCCTCCTGGCGTTTATTCAACGCTAGGATCAATGTACGCGGACCAACCTTGTAATTAGAAACGTATCACGCGTCGAACGTCTTTTTTCCCTGGGATGATAACAAAAATGGTATCGCCGTGAAACAAGGGCTCGATGAGCGCGTATACAGAGAGTAGAAGAAAAAAGCAAAAAGGGAAAGAAAGAAATGCACAGCGCGACGAGCTCGTGTACACATGTACGCAACTGTACAGTCAACAACAAATCTAGCATCCGTAGGGAGAATGTAATGGTCGAGATGGGGTGCGATCGCAATCTATGTTTTATTAGAGATCGATTTTTAGTTTGGTGGATTTGCGAGATTGGAACTAGTGACATTTGTAAAATTACAGGATATGGGTGGTTGGGAATTTTGGAAAGTGGAAAAATTTGGGTATTTGTTGATTTGGGAGTTTTGGAATTTGGGGAAATTAGGGAATTTTGGGGAATTTGGGGAATTTTCGGAATTGGGAAATTTGGGGATTTTGGAGAATTTTGGGTGATTTGGGAATTCTGGAAAATTTGAGGGTTTTGGGGAATTTCGGAGGAATGAAAATTTTGGGGAATTTGGGAATTCTGGAAAATTTGGGAATTTTGGGTGATTTGGGAATTCTGGAAAATTTGGGAATTTTGGGTGATTTGGGAATTCTGGAAAATTTGGGGATTTTGAGGAATTTTGGAGGATTTGGAAATTTTGGGGATTTTGGGAGGATTTGGGAATTCTGGAAAATTTGGAGATTTTAGGAAATTTATGAAGATTTGGTAATTTTAGGGAATTTGGGCATTTGTAAGTTTATGAATCTGGGGAATTTAGGTATTTGGAAATTTTAGGAATTTTGGGAATTTGGAACTTTGGATGTTTGCGAATTCGAGAAATTTAAGAACTGAGCAACTGTAGAATTGAATAATTGAACAATTGGGAGATTGGGAAATTGAAAAATTGAAATCCGTAAGAATTGAAAAATTAAAAAATTAAGAACTTGGAAAATTGAAAAATTGAAGAATTGGAAAATGGAAAACTGTAAGAATTGAAAAGTTAAAAAATTAAAAGCTTGGAAAATTGAAAAATGGAAAAATGGAAATATGGAAACATAGAAAAACATGAAAAGAAAATTGTTATACCTATCCTAATTCAAAGAAAGCAGAGATTGTAGCGGAGTGTACACGCTCGGAAACGTATTGCACATAGAGCCGGCACCGAACACGCACATTTACCGACGCATGATCGATCCGCCTTGGCGTGCATGCTCGTGGAAGGAATGACGTTAAAACGAACAAAGACCAATCGTCGATATTACGAATCGTGTCGAGGGTGTACCAGAGGCTGCTGGACGTGTGGAGTGCATCGGCGAACGGAAGTGTTCATCGTTGCCGCACTTATAGCCGCATCATCAATCATCGTTCAGCCCCGTCGTCAATTACACGGTTAACTCTTCTACCGAATTACCGAACGAACATTCAATTAATTTACCCGATTTCATTTTCCCTTTGTTCCTGTTAATTAGTCTGGGCACCTACGTTCACTGGTTCGAATACACGGGTCTCCATGGTGGCATAGGTATGGGCTCTAAACTGGTAGTTCATTTTGCTGTTAGAAAAGTCTATTGGGATCTGCTATGTTTTCTAAGTTCGTGGGATTTTTGATATTTGATTTATTTTAATTTTTCTGTTTGATGTTTTGGAACTTTTAAGTTTGTAACCTTGATTTTTTAGTGTTTGATATGAATAAATTTTTGTATTTCATCTGATGATGTGTTAAATTTAGATATTTGTAAAACATTTTTCAAAATTGAAAAATTGGAGAATTAAAGAATTGAAAAATTGTAGAATTGAAGAATTGAAAACTGACGAATTGAAGAATGGAAGAATTGTCCATTGGGCGAATTGATACAGTGACGAATTAAAGAATTGACGAATTGACAAATTAACAAATTAAAATAATTGGAAATTTGAAGAACTGAAAAAAGGAAAAATTGAAAATGGAATAATTGGAAAATTTAAAATTTGAAGAATTGAAAAATGGAAGAATTAAAAAATGTGAAATTGAAAAATTGAAAATCTGAAAAATCGAGAAATTGGAAAATTGAAAAATTGAAAAATTAAAAAATTAAAAAATTAGAAAATTACATGATTTTGAAAATCTAATACCAAAAAACTATAATTAGAAAAATAAAAAAAATAAAGTCATATTTAAAAAATTAATTAAATAAAAAATACAATTATACCAAACTGAAATTTATACCCTGCATTTACCAAAATTGAAAAAGAGTGTAAATTCAGTGTTCAAGTAGTAATTAAAGAGAGAAAAATTGTAGACAAAAGTAGTGGGTAATTACAATAGGACGTGGCAATTTCATACGGATAATGTTTCAAGTATCATTAGAAATAATTCATGGAAACCGCCAGGAGAAATCTCCTGCCGGCTTTTGCGTCGGTAGTCGCTTGTTTTATATGTAATTAGATGCCGGATTAACGGTGTCTCCTATTGTATCCAAATTCGTCCTTCTATTTCAACCTCGTACTGTGTAATTACTTTGTAGATTTTGGTAATGCTACTTCATTGTTGTATACTTTATACGCGATCAATGTTCTACATGCTCGTAAACAGAAGGAATTTTAGATGTTAATTATGTTCGTACTCTTTCTCCACTGTTTGCTCTTTAACATTTTTAATCATTTTATTTAAGTAGTTTTATGTACTTGTCTGGTATCAACTTTAATTACTCGAACCCTTTAAATACTTATACTTCTTTTGTAGAATTATAATTCTTTACTTTTTCATTTAGGTAGAATAGGTTGAGCATTTGGGTAGAATAGGATTTCTTTATTTCCATACAAAGTTTATTATTTTTAAATTTACAATTTTGTTTTAGTGCAAGTTCTGTATTCATTAAAAGTGTAATTTATTCATATAATTGCTGTGTCTATTTTTATTAAAAATTGACTAACTTAAAGGTCATAACATAAGTAGTACGAAGTATATAAAATAATTATACTAATTTTTACTAAAAATTTACTAGCTTAAGTTTAAAAATTAAGACAATGTAAGATGCTTATAATTATATACTTGCATACTTCCTCATGTAAAACTAATAAAGTAAGAATTTATAATTTATAGAATGTGGTCGATGTACAAGTATTATTTTCTTCTGAAACATTCATTAATATTGAATAACGTGTTGAATAATTGTTCCAGACGGTTTAAGATAATCGTATCGATCATTGTCAAGAGAGATAATCAAGTTTCCAGTTAGTTTCGATGTTCTCCAGTTAATAGTTCTCCAAAGTATCAAAATGTGCAGTAGTTTCGGATGAGCTCAAGTGAATCTAGTTAATATAGTACAGAACTATAGTTTGAAGCAGCGTATTCTTCAAAAAAGAGTTACGTTACGTAAATTACATTGATGGTTCATTTCAAAATACGAACTGATTACACAAAATGTAGACAATTCTTATTTATTGTTAAACAAAATATTAACAATTCTTATTTATCGTTTAAAAAAAATATGAATGGTGGATATTTATCGTTGAACAAGATATAGGCAATTATTGTTCATCTTAAAAAATATATATATGGAAATTAACAGAAGACTGCTAAATCAAGACACAAGAAAGAATTCAGGAATTTGAGAACTGAAAAATTTCGGATAGGGAAATTTGGGGATAGGTATACTTAGACATTTAGGAATTTGGGGGTTTGAAAATTTGGGAAGAGAGAAATTTGAAGATTTGAGAAATTGGGAATAGAATAATTTGAAGATTTAACAATTTTCAATCTAGTGATCGATGCAAGGTAGTAAAACTCTTGATAGTTCAACGCGTGATAATTCAACGCGTAGAGATTCAACGCATTAATAATTCGGTGCATGGTAGCTTGACGCGTGGTAGTTCAACGCGTGCTAATTCAACGCGTAGAGACTCAACGCATTAATAATTCGGTGCATGGTAGTTCAACGCGTGATAATTCGACGCGTGAAAATTTAGCGCATGGAAATTCAACGCGTGGGAATTCAATGCACTAATAATTCGACGCGTGATAATTTAGTGCAT